TATATCACATGAACGAACTGAAATATAAAAAACATATGATCATATCAATAGATGCAGAAAAAGCAATTGACAAAATCAAGCATCATCCATTTATGATAAAAACTCTCAGCAAAGTGGGACTAGAGAGAACATACCTCAACATAATAAAGGCCATATATTACAAACACACAGCTAACATCATTCTCAACTGGGAAAAGCTAAAAGTGTTTTCCTTAAGATCAGGAACAAGACAAGAATGTCCACTTCAACCACTTTTATTACACATAGTATTGGAAATATTAGCCACAGTAATCTTATAAGAAAAAGAAATAAAAGGCATCAGATTGGAAAGGAAGAAGTAAAACCGTCATTATTTGAAGATGACCCAATACTATATATAGAGAACCCTAAAGAGTCCACCAAAAAATGTTAGAACTGATAAATAAATTTAGTCAAGTAGCAGGATACAAAATTAATATTCAGAAATCAATTGCATTTTTATACACCAATAATAAACTATGGGAAGAGAAATTAAGAAAACAATGCCATTCACAATTGTATCAAAGAAAAAGCAAATACATAGGAATAAACTTAACCAAAGAGGTATAAGTCATTGAAGAAAGAAATTGAAGAAGACACAAATAAATGGAAGTATATACCGTGTTCATGGATAGGAATAATTAACATCATTAAAATGGCCATACTACCCAAAGCAATCTATAGATTCAATGTAATCCCTATTGAAATACCAGTGGCATTTTTTTCACAGAACTAAAATAAATAATCCAAAAATCTATATAGAACCATAAAATATCTCAAATAGTTACAGCAATCTTGAGAAAGAAGAACAAAGTTCTTCTGATATCAAACTATATACCTGATATCAAACTATACTACAAGCCTATAATAATCAAAATAGCCTGGTACTGGCATAAAAACAGACATATAGATCAATGGAACAGAATAGACAGCCCAGAAATAAATCCACACTTATATGGTCATTTAATTCATGACCAAGGAGGCAAGAATATACAATGTGATAAAGAGAGTTCGTTCAATAAATGGTGTTGGAGAAACTGAACAGATAACATGCAAAAAATTGAAACTAGATCATCTTCTTACACCATATACAAGAATAAACTCAAAATGAATTGAATACTTAAATGGCAGACCCAAAACCATAAAACTCCTAGAAGAAAACACATACTTAAACGAAAGACCCAAAACCATAAAACTCCTAGAAGAAAACACAGGCAGCAAACTCTGACATTGATCTTAATATTTTTTTCTGATATATCCTCTTGGACAAGGGAAACAACAGAAAAAATAAACAAATGGGACTACATTACCTAAAAAGTTTGTACACAGAAAAGGAAACAATCAACAAAGTGAATACACAACCTACTGAATGGGAGAAGATATTTGACTATGATACATCTGATAAGGGGTCAATACCTAAAATTTATAAGAACTTATACAACTCAATACCAAAGAACCCCAAACGATTCAATTAAAAAATGGGCAGGAGACCCTAGAATTACCCAAAGAGCTAAACAAACAAAGAAACAAAAATGAAGCAATGCCCAGGCTCAGTCCTGAAGATTCTGATTTAATTGGCCTGGAATGGAGTCTGGGATGCATTTGATATTTTCGGAAAGTTTTTGGTATGATTCTAATGTACAGCAATGGTTGAGAACTACTGTTCTAATGCGTTAAAGAGATCAGTTAGCAAATAAAAGTGCAGTTTTCTAAGTCAGTTGAGCTAATCTTTAATAGTCAGCCTGGCTTTCTGCTTCAGAATCCTTCAAGATTTCACCACGAGGCCACTGAGCATACTTTTGTATTCTCAACCCTACCAGGTTCTATGACCAACCAGGTTTTAGAAACAGTTTGTTAGTAGGTTGTCATCTCAATCCCAACTCATTATTTCTTCTGGTGCTGTGTTCTTTTAGCCTGCCTTGCTTCTAGTGACCAAGTCTTAACTTCCAGTAACCCAGTCTAGTGACCAAGTCTTAACTTCCAGTAACTTCCAGCTTGGACTCTGCCTTGCGTCTGGGTTCTCTTGACCACCACCTGAAGTCTCCTGCCCACTGCTGTTCCTCTGATAAGAATACCTGCAGTCTATACTGCCAGTTATTTGTTGTCCTCCAGATCACTTGCTATACCTTTGCAGGTCTCTCTCTTGTCTCCCATCTGATCTGGATTACCTTGCCTCCACCAATACTCTAGGCCTGATGCAATCAACACAGATAATGTTTAATATCGGGTATCAAGAATAGATGTACCAACACATCTACACTAAATATTTTTCGGCTTATTCTTCTTGCAGTTTTTTTTAGTTAATGGATTTCCTGGTAGAACATGACACTGTCCATTTTCTGTATCCTCATTACCAGCGTGATTAGACTTTGTGGCAGTGGCTGAGCTACATCTGCTGGCATATTTGTTGACATCAAAGGGAGACCAGAGATCCTACCAACCCTGGCAGATTAGGTTAACTTTTGCCCGGAACTTAAATTACACTTGAGGTATCTTGTTCGATGTATTTGAAGTTTGCTGTTACATGATAAGCTTTATTTTCTTTCTGAAATTTTAATAATGCATTCCAAAAGGAATCATTCTTCTGAAATAGCAATCCAAGTTTCACACTGCAGATCTTGGAACTGATAACATGTTCCCCAACCCAGTCCCAATCATTCTAACATAAAATAAATATCTGGGTAAAAGTAATATACTAGTATTTAACAAAATTAATAAATACAGACAACCTTAGGCTATATGTAAGTTTTTACAGGTACTAACCTTAACTGGAAATATTTTATGAACTTCTATCTAGCTCTCATTATATTATGTTTTAAACTCTGGTTTTTCCACTAGATAAAAATCCCAGAATACATGACAAATGTCACATTACTCTACTCCTGGTACCCACACACCATTTGGCATGTAGTAATTGCTCAAGAAATACATGTTCCAAGAATGAATGTGCCTATTGCATATGAAACAAGTTCTGGGTTTTGGTGCCCCTTTAAAGCAAAGCATTTTGACTTTGTGCACCCCAGGGTTCTTTCCTAGGCTGTGAGCCAGTGGTTCCTGAGTGGGTTAATCTGGTGCTGTTTAGTCTATCAATGTCTGTAGCTGCTATTTGTAGGTGCATTCTAGGGCTGGAATGGCCACAAAAAATCACTTTTGGTGTCTTATTCCAAATCAATGAAACAAAACTCTTCCCCAGGAGCTCACCAGCAGATCCTTTTCTGGTGGTAAAATTTCCATAATGATGGCTTTGTTAATGTCGTGCTTGGCCACCTGCCATTCTAAGGCTATGAATGAGAAAATAATAAATTAAGTTTTCTTCCATCGGATTTGGATTCTATTGCTAAAAGTGTGCTTGTAATTTACCCATGACTAGATTAAGAGTTTTACTTTTATAGTAATCTAAATGTTCTTACAAAAGTAGACTTGACAGTTGGGTCCCTTTGCATGTCCCTTTGGCTGCTTATATTTCCTCACAGTTGGCTCATGAAGGGTCTGATTTTTATAGGAATATGCATGTTGGTATCTTTGTGTGTTACCTTTTACCTGGTATATATGTTCCTAGCATTTTTCTGTTTTCTCATGACCTATATGAGGTGTGGCACTCTCTCCAGACACACCTACCCCACTTTGGTATAAGAAGGTCACTTCTGTCCTCCCTAGCTCTAGAGGTTAGTTGTAAGAAGAGTTGAAAGCTGGTTATGAAGTAATAGGATGAAAGGGACAAATATTTCCTAAAAGGGTACATTTGATGTACTTTCAACATAACATGAACTGAGAACAGAGTTTTCTATGTTTACATTCTTTTCTCAGCATAAAAATAATTATGTATTTGCGCTTTATTTTGGTCTGAAAATAGGGATAAAGTGAAAGTGCTTGGAATAGAATGAATATAAACTTAAAATAACTGGTTAATGTTTTTTATCCTCTCTCATTTCTAGTGCTTTCTTTTGTATAACTTGAATAAACTGAAACAGATAACTTTGAAAAGTGATAGAGGTTAAATGACAAAATAAACTGTTATAGAATCATCTGAAACTATTTGCACAGTAAACTATTTACACAGTGAACATTGTAAACTTTGTTCCCATAGCAAAGGGAAAGATCGTCTTCCCTTGTCCTATAATAATGACATCTCTTGAAACTGGGAAATGAGGGCTGCCTCAACTCTAGATCATTCCGTTAGGACTGCTGTTAGTTTAACCCAGGTGTCAGCAAACTATGATCTGTGGCTAAATCTGGCCCATTAACTCTTTTTATATGGCCTGCAAATTAAGAATGGTTTTTACATTTTTAAACAGTTGGAAAAAATCAAAAGAAGATTAATATTTCAGGACGTGAAATTATTTAAAATTCAAATTTCATAATGCATATAATATCTTATATTATATATTGCATATAATTTGTACATGAGAGTTTTATTGGAACATAGCCATGCTCACTAGTTTATATATTATCTATGGCTGCTTTTGTGCCATGGCAGAGTTGAATATTGTGACAGGAACCATGTGGCCGTAGAGGTGAAAATATTTACTATCTGGTCCTTCATAGAAAAAGTTTGCTGACCCCTAGTTCAACTTAATTTTAAAAATCCTACTTTTGTTTAGGGATTGTGCTTGCTAATTGCACTGTTCCAGCTTTCTCAGTGATTGGAAAAATCCTCTGTGGGACTTTATCCCATGGTATAATAAGAATAACATCCCAGGAATGTATACTTGAAACAGTCAGTCTAGAACACATAATTTGATCAGGAACTCCCCAAGTTTTAGTTATGAACCAGAATAGCCTTGGACCACTTCAAACCTGGCTCCCTCCTGTCCTGAGGCTCCTGTGGTGTGGTAAATGATTCTCATGGCTTACTTATCAATTATTCAAATAGCATATAGTGATGATTTTGAAAACTAGAGGAAACACAGAAAGTTAGGTTTAATGTTACTATGCTATCTTACACAGATGAGATTAATTTTCACAAAAAAGCAAAAGCCCACCTGGACGAGTTTCTGCCACAACAGGCCCAGCAAGGTCCGACGGCTTGCCAACACCTGCCTGGTTTATGGCTCGAACACGGAACACATAGCTGACACCTTCCTTGAGGTTTTGCACCTGGAAGAAGGAGGTATAAAAGTAATAAGCATTCTGTGTCACTTAAACAAAAGAGCTCTTCCTCTGCAATAATGATTTATAGTTGACCCTTGAATGACATGAATTTAAACTACACAGGTCCACTTAGGCAAATCTTTTTTCAATAAATAAGTGTATTTTCTCTTCCTTATGATTTTTTCCCCTTTTTTAAAAATAATTTTTTATCTTCCAATTACAGTTGACATACAATATTAATTAGATTCAGGTGTACAATGCAGTGATTAGACACTTAAATAACTTACAAAGTGATCACCCCAATAAATCTAGTACCTGTCTGACACCATAGCAGCAGTCCCCAACCTTTTTGGCACCAGGAACCAGTGCCCCTATGAGAATCTAATGCCCGATGATCTGAGGTGGAGCAGAGGAGGTGATATTTATGCTGGGGAGCAGTTGTAAATACATATGAAGCTTTGCTCGCTCACCCACTGCTCACCTCCTGCTGTGCGGCCTGGTTCCTAACAGGCCACAGACTGGTACTGGTCTGTGGCCCAGGGATTGGGGACCCCTGAACATGTTATTACAATATTATTGACTATATCTCCTATGCTGTACTTTACATCCCCATGACTATTTTGTAACTACCGATTTGTATTTCTTAATCCCTTCCCCTTATCCCCCATGCCTCCTATCTGGAAACCATCAAAATGTTTGTTTCTGTTTTGTTTGTTCATTTATTTTACTTTTTAGATTCTACATGTAGTGAAATAATATGGCATTTGTCTTTTTCTGTCTGACATATTTTACTTAGCATAGTACTTTCTAGATCCATCCGTGTTGTTGTAGATGGCAAAAATTTCATTCTTTTTTATGGCTGAGTAATATTCCATCGTATATATGTACGACTTCTTTATTCGTTCATCTATTGATGGACATTCAGGCTGTTTCAATATCTTGGCTATTTTCTTGGCTATTATAAATAATGCTGCAATGAAGGTATAGATGCATATATCTTTTTGAATTAGTGTTCTGGGTTTCTTCAGGTAAATACCCATAAGTAGAATTACTGGGTTCTTCTTTGTCGCTTGTTATAGCCTTTGTTTTAAAGTCTGTTTTGTCTGTCATAAGTATTGCTACCCCAGCTTTTTTTTTTTATTATTTCCATATCTTTGTCCATCCCTTTACTTCAATCTGTGTGTGTCTTGATCTGAAGTGGGTCTCTTATAGGCAACATATGTAAGGGTCTTGTTTTCATACCTATGAGCCATCCGACATCTTTTGACTGAAGCATTTAAAGCATTTATATTTACATTAACTATTGATAGGTAGTTGGCACCATTTTATTATTCATATTTTTTATCTTTTTTCCCCCTTCTTTTTATTAAAACAGTCCCTTTAACATTTCTTGTAATACTGGTTTGGTGGTGATGAATTCCTATAGCTTTGTCTTGTTTGAGCAGCTCTTTTTCTGTCCTTTGATTCTAAATGGTAGCTTTGCTAGTTAGAGTAATCTTGGTTGTAGGCCCTTGCTTTTTATCATTTTGTCTATTTCATTCCAGTTCCTTCTGGCCTGCAAAGTTTCTACTGAGAAGGCAGCTGACAGTCTTACGGGAACTCCCTTGTAGATAACTAACTGCTTTTTTCTTCTTTCAGGATCCTTTCTTTGTCTTTAACCTATGGCATTTGAATTATGATGTTTCTTGGTGTGGGTCTGTTTGGGTTCATCTTGTTTGGGCTTCTTGCACTTCATGGGCTTGTATGTCTATTTCCTTCTCCAAGTTAGGGATGTTTTCCATCATTATTTCTTCAAATAGGTTTTCAATTCTTTGCTCTCTCTTCTCCTTCTGGTACCCTTATGATATGAATGTTGTTACACTTGATATTGTCCCAGAGACCCCTTAAACTTTCCTTATCTTTTTTTTATTCTTTTTTTCTTATTGCTATTCCAATTGTGTGTTTCCTGTTACCTTATCTTCTAAATCATGGATTCGGTCCTCTGCTTCATTTAATCTACTGTCGATTCACCTTAATGTCTTTTTTATTTTTATTATTGTATTTTTTATTTCCGACTGCTTTTTTTTTATGTTTCCTATCTCTGCCATTCTTGTCAAGACTATTGAGCATCCTTATAACCAGTGTTTTGAACTCTGCATCTGCTAGATTGCTTGTCTACATGTTTAGTTCTTTATATGAAGTTTTATTCTGTTCTTTCATTTGGGACATGTTTCTTTGTTTCCTCATTTTGACTATCTCCCTGTGTTTGTTTCTGTGTATTAGGTAAAGTTGCTATGTCTCCTGGTCTTGGTAGAGTGGCCTTAGGTAGTAATTGTCTTGTGGGGCCCAGTGGTGCAGTCTCCCTGGTCACTTGAGCCAGGTGCTCAAAGTGTGTCCCTTGTGTGGGTTGTGTATGCCCTCCTGTTGTAGTTGAGTCTTGATTGCTGTTGGTAAATCAGTGGGAGGGATTGACCCTCAGGCTAATTGGTTGTGAGGACTGACTGTGATTACAGTGGAGGAACTGTTGTGTAGGGGCTGACCCTACAGAGCAGGATTTGCTTTAGCAGGGCACTGGTGACTGCTGAATCTGCCTTTTGAGTGTGTCATTTGTGGATGTGGTTGGATGGTGCTCTGGTGTGATCTGAAGCTAGCCACCAGGTGCGTTGGTTCTGGGGCCTCTTGAGAGCGACTCCAGTGCAGGGCAAAGTCAGTCACTGCCTATACCCTTCCCAGGGCCACTTGATATGAGCTAAAAAGTGATCTGCAGATAATTGTCACTTGTGCTGGGCTTGAAAGTTCCTGGGAGAGGCTAGGCTGTTAACTGAGATTGGCTGCTGCTAGTGGCAGGCTTGGGGCTGCTTAGCAAATGGTACAGTGCAGGACGAGGCCAGATGCTGCTTGTTTGGGGTTTGTGAATCTTTAAGAGAATTTGGGAAAGTCTACAGCATGAGCAAAGATGGGCCCTTTGTATGGAAAAGCCACTGAAAGTGGCTTGGGTGGGCCCACAAGTTGGGTGAGGAGAGGTCTCAGGGAATCACCAGGGTGAGGCAAACAGTGTTAGCTAGCTTGATGGAGAGTCAGATATGGCACCCTCTTATGTCTGCATGCTGAATGAGGGGAAGGCTCAAGAAAGGAACATTTCTTTATCTGAGACAAAGCTGCCCCTACAGCCCTCACCCTGAAGCCAGAAAATTCAGTTCCTCCCTGAATGTCCCTGGTGCCTTTTGAGCTGCTGCCCCAGTTTTGGAGTTCAGAGCAAGTGAGCCTGTCAGTAAGTCCATGTATGGGCCCTTTAAGAAGAATATCTGGGACTCTATCAGCTCTTTGTCTTAACTCAGCCACAATCTGCTGGTTTTCACAGCCAGAAGTTATGGGGACTTCTCTTCCCAGTACTAGAACCCTGGACTGGAGAGCCTGCTGTGGGTCTTAGACCCTTTCTCCTTGGCCAAAATATCCCTCCCAATTTTTAACCAACACAAGTGGGTATAGGTATAGCCTGTTCTGCATCTCTGCCCCTCCTACCAGTCTTGATGTGGCTTATTCTGTATATGCTTCATTATAGGACTTCTGTTCAGCTAGACTTCAGGTGATTCTTAACGATGGTTGTCCTGTAGTTTAGTTGTAATTTTGATGTGGTCATGGGGGGACGCGAGCACAGCATTTACCTACTCTTTCCTTATGATTTTCTTAATAACATCTTTTCTCTAGCTTGCTTTAGCATAGAATATAGTATATAATACATATAACATACAAATTAATGCTAATCAACTGTTTATGTTATTGGTAAAGCCTCCGATCAACAGTAGGCTATTAGTAGTTAAGTTTTAGGGAGTCAAAAGTTACACAAGGAATTTTGACTGCATATATGTGGGGAGGTGCCCCTAACCAAGTTGTTCAAGAGTCAGCTCCATATAGCACAAAAGGTATAGGCCTTGAGTTCTAGACCTGATTCAGTCAAAGACTAAGCATGTGGCTTTAGCGTTAGACTTTCTTCTCTCTAGGTCATCTGTAAGTTACTAGGTGTTTCTCAGATCTTCTGCAACTCTTTTTTAGATTTAATGGCTGGCAGCATCAGAAACAAGAGACCAATTCAGGTATGCGTTAAAGGACTTAGTCATCTCATTCTTTAATTAAAAAGAAAATAAAAAGTGCTCACAAGAGCATTTTTATTGCCCCCCCCCCCCTTTTTCTGATTGTTTTGAGACATTCCATGAATAATTTCAGATAAAATTCCTGGCAAGAGAGGGGAATTACAAGCATGGACCATGGACACTTTCCATTTGTTTAAAAGCATGTTAAAATACTAGAACTAAAACAAACAAAAATTGTCCCTGTAAATTTAATATAGACAAGCAATTGACATGATTGTGAATTTTTGTAATTTGTGAAAAATCAAAATGGATAAAAATTCTAAATCCCTACATTTTCAATAATCAAAGAGATGGTTGCTGAGAATCTATTACATATATGCTACTGAGCGAGAGTTTTAAGAGTTGAAGGGTTGTAAAAAACATTTAAGATATGTTTTTATATGACAATCCCACTTCATAATTTTTTGTGACTTTCTTTGGGTTCATCATAGTCTCATTACTATTATAAAAACTATTAATGTTTTGCCAGTTATCTTTTTCTTTTTAAAATATGACATTTAAAAGCTATATTGTATTTAAAGAAGGAATTTTTTACACACAGAAGGTGCAATTTTTTTCGCATATGTTGTGAAGGACAACAATATCCAAAATGTGATTTAAATCAAACAAAGCTAGAATATATTTATTCAACTAAGCAAGGTGTTTGTGACCATACATTTAAATAAGCTATGTATTAAATTGTTAGGTTTTTAATCTAATTACTTAACTGCATTGTGTTTATAACAATGGAGTGTCACTTTATGCAGTTATAGCTTTCACTGGATTTAATGAATTTTTGAAATTAATTTTAATCTGTAAAGGAATTGAGTTTAAGCACAGGCTAACTGCACAGAGTTTGATGTATTTAAATTCTATGTTTAGAAATGATGTCAAGCAACTGTGGATTATAGAAAGGAACAGAAACATTTCCTGTTGTGACAAAAATAGACCAGTTTCCTGGTATCTGCCACATCTGCACCTGCCACCTAGGTAATATGTGGCTGTGAGTCAGATTTCTGCATTATGACACAGGAACTAAATCCATATCCTAGTGTTTGGTCTCTGGGGTGACAGAAACATCCCTCTACTCTTCCATTGCCACAGAGAAAATGACCGCTGGCCATAAAGCATTAGAAATGCCTAATCTATGCACATTGATTTTCCTTTTCTTGGATTTTCCCCCCTTTCCTATAATTTCTGAAGGAACAGCATTCCCTTTAATGTAGGGAAGAGGCTCAAGAACTAAATGTTAAATCAAGCTATATTCAGAGCTTGCAATGTGCTATCAGACCAAGGGAAACCTACAGCACAAAGAAATATTCCTACTGGGATTACTAACAAACCAGTTACCCTTAATGTGACGAGAAAACAGAATCTTTAAGTCAGACCCTACATTCATTCCCTATGGCCAAAAACAATGGGAACCTATAGATCAAAGGCTGGGGATTGCCAGCAGGCTTTCTCCCTATATTCCCTTATCTTTCACACTGTATACCCATACCATCAAAGGAAAATAGGTAAACAATCCTTAAAATGTAATTCATAGAAACTAAGAATGATATATAAACTGAATTCCACAAACACTCGGGGTCTTGCCTTGTTTTTGTCTTCTCTTTGACCTTGGTTTTCGTCTTCGCCTGTCTTTCTGTCTGTCTTTTTTCTCCTGGTCTTTTTTTGTCTGTCTCTCTATCCCTCTCAGCTCTCTCATTCTCTGTCTTTGGGAGGAGAACATGTCTCTGTCTGTGGAGTCTTATTCCTTCTCTAATAAACTTCTTTGTCTCTAACTCTGATATGTGCTTGATTTCTTTCCTGCACTCAGTTAAGAACTCACCCTCTCTAGGTGTGGGATTTGAATTTCCACTTGGGGGGATTCGCCCTGTCCTGCATCACCTTGCCTTCTCCATTCATCTCCCCCACATTTCCAATGTTCACTACCTTCTCATCATATTGTCTCACCAGGCTATAATTACCAATAAAAAAGAAAAACAGTAAGCTCTGTTAGGTTAAATCTTTTTGGTTGAAAGTAAAGCATCTTTAACTCTCTCTGGGGACCCCTGAATTGAACGTGGGTGCTTCCAGTAGAAACCATATGTTTTGGCTGTAATTGTGCTTAAGTTCTCTCATTCATGGAGCTATATCTTCTATCCTCACTTAAGTTTACCAGACTAAACTTTTAACATGTATGTTTTTTTCTCCATCTGAGGTTTGAAACTTTTCTGAATATAATACATCTAGAAGAGTAAATATACATCAAAATGGGTATAGGAATTACAGGATATCTTTACTTTTTTTCTTTATGCCTTTATTGTTTGACTTTTTCATCATGAGCGTGTGTCAGTTTTCTAATCAGAAAAATCAAAATTCTATTTTCACTTTTAAAAATGTGGCCAAACTCTTATGATTACTTCCTTACAGAAAGTTCATTTTTAGTTTGTGAGGCTTATGCAACCTCAATCTCTTTCTCTCTCTCACTCTCTCTCTTTCTCCCCCTTGTCCCTCCGCAAATTTGCCTTTCTTGTTTTTCTTTTTATTAAATGAGTGACATTAACCATTTTTTATGTGTTTTAACTCTATTATGTTTTTTTCCTGCCCTTTTTTTCCTGGCCTCTTGGTCTCCTTTGTTTGGCTTATCACTCTTGTATTGCTTTATCCCAGTCAGGTCCAATCTCAGGCTCTTGGGACACTATGCTGTGGTAGACTGAGGATTTAGAAATTGTCCTTGCCATAAACAGTCACCACCACCATCCAGGATGTGTCTGATTTTTACACTGGCCTTTGGGGATCTTTACATCTAGAAGCTTCCTGATTCATCTGGACAAACAGCATCCTAGGCTCCAGGTCTTCCTTGACCTCTTCTTGTCCCCATTAAATGTGACCTTCCTTATCTCCTCAGGGTTTTTTAAGAGATAGAGAGTTCATTTGCATGTGCTAAATTGAGTTAATGGAATGTTGAGCTTAATGGCTTAAGGGTCATTTCTCCTGAAGGATATATTTACATTTTTTATGGGGACTATAAATGCCTTAACTCCACAGAGTGGCTGACAGATGGTATGGACTTTAGTCCATCCATAGTGGCAAGTTGATGGGAGAGATCTTTCAGACCAGTTACACTCTGAATATCTTCCAACGCCAACCCTCTAGGCAACGGCCTACTCTGCCAACAGCATTCAGTGTGCAGCTTTCTGTATGACTGTGGTGAAGCCACACTTCACTCTAAAGAACTAGAATCATACTCTCCCAGTTTCTGAGGCCCTACTGTGGATTCAGGGTCTCTAGATACTGCTGACAATAAAGAAAAATATTCTTTTGATATTTCCCTTTGGTATTAGTGAGAGAGTCAGTGGCTTTAGCAAAACAGTCTTTGGTAGGTAGAGTTAGGAATTGGTTCAATTAGAACACTCTAGAGGAATCTGGAAGGCAAAGACATATATAAGCGTGAGAATAAGGTCAAGAGTTGAGTGAACCCTTTCCACTAGTCTCTGTGAGCTCACGTGAATAGAATTGTGAGGGCACAAGTGAAGTGAGACAGAGCATCACTCAAAAGGATCAGCAGTTAAAGGTTTACTGGTGTGAACTCTAAAAATAACATCCAAATATCAAAAACCACCCTCAAAAAAATTAGAGGTAGGAATGAGAAAGTCACTTTTGGGGGATGGTAAGTAAAAATGTCTTAAGACTGTAACAAAAATGTGAACTAGGTAAGTGAAGGAAAGGAAGGAAAGAAGAGAAAGGAGAAAATTTGTGGATATTTTCCAAAGCTAGGCTAAATGATTCAAGTTAAATATAACCAAATTGTTTTAAGCATCAGAAACTTCCCCAAATCCCGATCACTACCAAATAGAATCTTACCAGAAGCCCAGTGTATGACACTGACTAAAGCAGAGATGTTTGGTTTTACCTTGTTAACTTTAAAGTTAATATCATTAGAAGAGCCCCTTTTCTCTAAAAAAAAAAAAAGATTTTTCAAACTATGAACATCCTCTTACCTTCAGGTATTTGTTTTTAATAGCCACCTCATTGAGTCCTCGCCATTGATCATCTTTGGCTCTGGCCTCCTTCATGTCCACAAAGTAACCAGTGACTGGAGTGCGTCCAGAGTGGATCGGAGGCTTCCACTGCAGAACCAGGGAGGTTTTCCTGACTTCACTATACTTGAGACTTTGTGGTGGTCCTGAGAAAGAGAGAGACCAATGCATAAAATTCATAATGTAGATAAGAAAATTTAAATATGCGTAAATCTAGAACCACATTTAAGGTCTTACAGCTGAATCTGATGTTGGTGTTCTTTTTTTTAAAAAAAATCTATCATTTTCATGGAAATAGGTATTTTGTGGTTATTTCACATCAAGTATCCTCAACGGGTCTACATTAACATATTAAGACTATATGGGCAGCAGGTGGGGAAGGCCAGTTCAAGACGCCCATCAGAGAGGCTGGATGAAAACTTGCCTTCAGGCTGTCCTCAGGCCTGCGTTCCTCACCTTTTATCAGAAAAGTTTAATTTTGTTGCAGATTCAGTTTGATTATTTTTAGATGATAATCTGAAATTCTGCCAAATCTCAAATTAGCATGAAGGAAGCAATTCTATTTGATGGCATGTGAATATAGATAGTAATATTTCTTATAAAGGAAAAAGGAGTATATTATAAAATAGCTTCCCACAGGAGGGAATTTTTTTTCCATAAAGCAAATATCTCATATAGGGGTAAAAAGAAACTACAGTTGTGGTTTACAAAGAACTTTCAGCAAATAAATACAATTAATCCTGTGGGCTCTGAATCTGCGTTAAACACTGCCAGGTACTTTACATTCATTTTTCTCATTCATTCTTAAGACAATTAACAGAAAGCTCAGAGAAGCCAAGTAACTTGATCAAGCTGTTCAAGGAGAAAGCTAGTATGTTCTCCCTGTTTATGTGTTCTTTGCACTCTTGGGAGAATCCAAACTACTAAAGTGATTTATCTTTGCATGACTACCAGCTGCTATGCAAGTGATATATTTACTTTTTCTTCCCTGTTTTTTTTTTTTTTTTTTTCATTTTGGGCTATATAATTATTATCATAAAACATGTTAATTAAGTTAGCATATAAAGAGTTTATTGTTGTAATTTAGAC